ATATATATATATGTATTGTAACAGGTGAGCAGTGTTTGTTTATATATATATTGTAACAGGTGAGCAATGTGTGTTTATATATATATATATATGTATTGTAACAGGTGAGCAGTGTTTGTTTATATATATATATTGTAACAGGTGAGCAATGTGTGTTTATATATATATATATATTTTATCAAGTGAGCAATGTGTGTTTATATATATATATATATATTGTAACAAGTGAGCAGTGAGTGTTTATATATATATATATATTGTCACGATTCCGTACGATTTTAAGATTGGATTATATTATATAACAAGAAATTCTCTGCCAAAACGCATTGTCATGACAACTAATGAACACCAGAACAATATTTTTTGCTTTGACACCGTATGATCAGAATGGGTAAAGTACTTGTAAGTTGTTTTAGTTTTTAATGTTATGAGGCATGAAAACAAATATTAAAAAAATTAAAACCGAGAGAGATACTTTATACTGAGAACAAAATATTTTGTTGGGCAGTACAACGTTTTGGTGTAAGATTGAAGATATGGAACTTGAATAAGTATCTTGTTACAGGAAAAATGAAATGACATACATTTTTTAACCAAAAGTTCGAACACCAGGGCTTCTATATCTGTAATAGCTCCATATAACGTACTTCATTGATTGTGTAATGAAATTAAATTCCGTTAGATGTCAGATTAAATAAGGTATGTGCAACGATGGGTTCTTCATTCGATGTGGCCCGCAAGTACAATTAAAAATTGCTATCTGACCCGCACCCTGGTCGAAGTTGCCCATGCCTGGTTTAAAGGTTTTAAATATGAAGCTTGTTTTATATATATATATATGTACATTTTACAAAATAACTATAATTTCAAATCAAAGTCATAGTTGTATAAAATGAGAATGTATTCATTGTATTTTCTTCGAATAAAATACACGTAGCCTTAGCATAAAATAACTTGAGAACACTTTATTTCATTGGTTCGTTCTACCAAGAAATATTGAGGACCGTTATTCGGTGTAACTATTAAATATTGTAGAGGGAATCAAAGAATTGAGTGTGATTCTAAGTCATTCACGAATCTTTTTTTCTTTTCAATGAAATTACACAGTTTGTGAATAAAAAAAGAACAATTCACAAGAAAGCAAGAGAAAAATACATAGTGTGAAAAAGGGAATGTTCAGTTTCATAATTATGACTTCTGTAGTATGGATAAAGGTACGTTGAGTCTTGTAATTATGGATTCTACACTATGGAATAAGGAATGTTGAGTCTTGTACTTATGGTTTAGATAGCATGCTATAAGGGATGTTGAGTCTTGTACTTATGGCTTAGATAGCATGCTATAAGGGATGTTGAGTCTTGTACTTATGGTTTAGATAGCATGCTATAAGGGATGTTGAGTCTTGTACTTATGGTTTAGATAGCATGTTATAAGGAATGTTGACTCTTGTACTTATGGTTTAGATAGCATGTTATAAGGAATATTGTCTTTGTAATTATTGTTTAGATAACATACTATGAGGAATTTTCTCTTTTGTACTTATGGTTTGGATAGCATGCTATAAAGAATATTGTCTTTGTACTTATGGTTTCTATCGTATGAAAAAAGTCTTCTAAAGTATGCAGTAAGAAATGTTTAGTCTTCTATTTATGGTTTATGTAGCTCGAAGGGAATATATCTGGGCCTTGTACTTATAGTTTAAATACTACTCATTGTGGAATATTGAGTCTTATGTTTGTTGTTTCTATAGTATAGAGTAAGGAATACCAAGTCTTGTACTCGTGGTTCATATAGTATGGAGTAGTAAATGTTGAATTTTCTACTTATAGTAGACTTGAACTTAAGGTTTATATCGTATGCAGTAAGGAATGTTGTCTTCTATGTATAGATTCTGTTGTACGCAAAGTTTACCCTCGTACTTGTATTTTCTACTTTATTTATAAAGGGATGTTGAGACTTCTACGTATGGTTTATATACTGTGGAGTATTAAATGTTGAGCCTTGTACTTACTGTTTCTATTATTTGGAATAAGGAATGTTGAGCCATGTACTTATCGTCTCTATAGTTTGGAAAAGGAATGTTGAGCCTTGTACTTATTGTTTCTATAGTTTCGAATAAAGAATGTTGAGCCTTGTACTTATTGTTTCTATAGTTTGGAATAAGGAATGTTGAGCCAAGTACTTCTCGTTTCTATAGTTTGGAATAAAGAATGTTGAGCCTTGTACTTATTGTTTCTATAGTTTGGAATAAGGAATGTTGAGCCGTGTACTTATCGTTTCTAGTATACAGTATCAAATTGTTAGACTTTAGTTATGGTTTCTACAGTGAATTCCATAGAACGGAGTAAAAAATGTCCAGTCTTGCTTTTAAGGCTTACATGAGTGAGGAATGGTGAGTCATGTAGTTATGGTTTCTATGGCATTCGAGGTTGAGTCTTGAATTTGTGGTTTATATAGTATGGAATAGGAAATATTGAATTTTATACTTATAGTTTCTATTGTACGTAATCACAGTGTTGAGCCTTGTACTTACGATTTTTTTTGTATTCAATAAGGAATGTTGAGTTTTATACTTATGGTTTCTATTTTATGTAGTAACAATGTTGAGCCTTGTAGTTACGATTTTTTTTTGTATTCAATAAGGAATGTTGAGTTTTATACTTATAGTTTCTATTGTAGTAACAATGTTGAGCCTTGTAGTTACGATTTTTTTTTGTATTCAATAAGGAATGTTGAGTTTTATACTTATGGTTTCTATTTTATGTAGTAACAATGTTGAGCCTTGTAGTTACGATTTTTTCGTATTCAGTAAGTAATGTTGAGTCTTGTAATTATGGTTTTTATAGTATGGAGTAAAATATGTTTTGTTTCGTACTTATAATGACTAAAATGTGGACTAAAATTGTTGAGCTTGTAGTTACGTTTTATGTAGTATGTAGAGAGAAATATTGAATATTCTACTGATGTTTTCTATAGTATATTGAATAAGAAATTTTGTGTTATCATATGTCTAATTCCTGAAACTATAATATAGTTATAAGTTACTATGGGCACTGAATGAATTCCTGAATTAGGGACACATACTCAAATGGGCCTCTCTATACATCTTAATCTGTCTTCTTCCATCACTTCTAAATAGGTACACTGATCACTTGAACAGTGATATTGGGGTTTTCACTGTCAACAGGTAAAGCTGAAAAATTGTTTATTATAGTTTTATATATATTAAACATTCTATCTGTTGCTTTTAAAGGTATCTGTATAAACATTATTAAAGTATCCCTTACTGCTGCTGTCTTTACTTCCGCTAAAGTATAATACACGTAAACGTGATCACTATGTGACGGGATTCACAAACTATATGTTTGGGGGTAATCTTCTTTCAATTTCATCTAACATTTTTTCTAATTAGCTCGGGGAAGAACATATGAACTTAACCTTCTTCCTGCAGCAACGTAAAGGGCTTTTACTAACTTAGCTAACTCAGATCTACTACTTGCTACATTTACAAATATCTGCAGCCACGTGAATTGCTTCTACTACGCCAGGTAACTCAGTTTTATCACTTGCTTCATTAAAATATATCTAAAGCCACGTAAAGTGCTTCTAATACGCCAGCTAACTAAGTTCTACTACTTGCTACATTAAAATATATCTGCAGCCACGTAAAGAGCTTCTACTAACTTAGTTAACTCAGGTCTCTTACTTGCTACGGTAAAAGATATCTGCAGCCAAGTAAAATGCTTCTACTAACTTAGTTAACTCAGTTATAGTTCTTACTACTTTAAAATATATCGGCAGCCACGAAAAGTGCTTCTACTAACTTAGCTAACTCAGTTCTACTACTTGCTACATTAAAAGATATCTGGAGCTACGTAAAGTTCTTGTACAAACTTAATTAACTTAGTTATACCTCTTACTACATTAAAATATATCTGCAGCCATGTAAAGTGCTTCTACTAACTTAGTTAACTCAGTTCTAATACTTGCTACATTAAAATATATCTCCTGCAACGTAAAGTGCTTCTAATAAGTTAGTTAGCTCAATTATGCTACTCGCTACAATAGAAGATAGATTCAGCCACGTAAAGTGCTTCTACTAACTTAGTTAACTCAATTCTAGTACTTCCTACATTAAAGATATCTGCAGCCACGTAAACTGCTTCTAGTAACCTTGCTAGGTCCGTTCTACCACTTGCTACATTTATCGATATCTACAGCCACGTAAAGTGCTTCTACTAACTTAGTTAACTCACTTCTACTACTCATTAAATAAAAAAAAATATTCGCACCCACGTAAAGTACTTCTACTAGCTAACCTAACTTAGTTCTACCACTTGCTGCAGTAAAATATATCTGCAGTCACATAACGTGTTTCTACTAACTTAGTTAACTATGTTGTACCATTTGCTACGGTAAAATACATCAGCAGCCACGAAAAGTGCTTCTAGTAACTCAGCTAACTCAGTTCTACTACTTGCTACTTTAAACGATATCTGCAGACACGAAAGTGCTTCTAGTAACTCAGCTAACTCAGTTCTACTACTTGCTACTTTAAACGATATCTGCAGACACGAAAAGTGCTTCTAGTAACTTATCTAACTCAGTTCTACCACTTGCTACATTAAAAGATATCCGCAGCCACGTAAAGTGGTTCTACTAACTAAGTTAACTTAGTTCTAATACTTGCTACATCAAAAGATATATGCAGCCAGGTAAAGTTGGTTAACTCAGTTCTACTACTTGCTACATTAATAGATATCTCCAATCACATAATGTGCTTCAAGTAAATTAGTTAACTTAGTTCTACTACTTGCTACAGAAAAATATATCTGCAGTCACGTATAGTGCTTCTACTGACTTAGTTAACTCAGTTCTACTACTTGCTACAGACAAATATATCTGCAGTCACGTAATGTATTTCTACTAACTTACTTACCTCAGTTCTACCACTTGCTACATCAAAAGATAACTGTAGCTACGTAAAGTGTTTCTACTCAGGTAGGTAACTCAGTTGTACTACTTGCTACGTTAATAGATATCTGCAGCCACGTAAAGTTCTTCTTGTAACTTAGCTAGCTCAGTTTTACCTCTTGCTACATTAAAAGATATCTACAGCCACGTAAATTGCTTCTACTCAGTTAGGTAACTCAGTTCTACTACTTGCTTCATTAAGATATATCTGCACACACGTAAAGACATCTATTAACTTAGTTAGCTCAATTATACTACTTTCTACATTAAAAGATAGATCCAGCCACGTAAATTGCTTCAACTAACTTAGTTAACTCAGTTCTACTACATGCTACATTAAACGATATATGCACACACGTAAAGTCATTATATTAAGTTAGTTAACTCAATTATACTACTTGCTACATTAATAAATAGCTGCAGCCACGTAAAGTGCTTCTAGCAACTTAGCTAATCCAGTTCTACTTCTTGCTACATTAAAAGGTATCTGCAGCCACGTAAAGATGGTTAACTCAGTTCTACTACTTGCTACATTAATAGATATCTCCAATCACGTAACGTGCTTCAACTAACTTAGTTAACTTAGTTCTACTACTTGCTACAGAAAAATATATCTGAAGTCACGTAAAGTGTTTCTACTGTCTTAGTTAACTCCGTTCTGCCACTTGCTACATACAAATATATCTGCAGTAACATAACGTGTTTCTACTAACTTAATTAACTCAGTTCTACCACTTGCTACAGACAAAAAATATCTGCAGTCACATAACGTGTATCTACTAACTTAGTTAACTCAGTTCTACACTAACTACATAAAAGATATCTGGAGCTACGTAAAGTGCTTCTAATAACTTAGCTAACTCAGTTCTACTACTTGCTACATTAAACGATATCTGCAGACACGTAAAGTCATTCTATTAAGTTAGTTAACTCAGTTATACAACTTGCTACACTAAAAGATAGATCCAGCCACGTAAAGTGCTTCTACTAAGTTAGTTAACTCAGTTCTAATACTTGCTACATTAAAAGATATCTGGGGCACGTAAAGTGATTCTAATAATTTAGTTAACTCACTTCTATCTTTTGCTAGATTAAAAGATATCTGCATTCACGAAAAGTACTTCTACTAACTTAGTTAACTCAGTTCTACTACTTGTTACATTAAAGATATCTGCATCCACGTAATGTGCTTGTACTCAGTTAGTTAACTCAGTTCTACTACTCACTATGGTAAAATATATCTGCAGCCAAATAAAGTGCTTCTACTAACTTAGCTAACTCAGTTCTAATACTTGCTACATTAAAAAAAATGCAGACACGTATATTGCTTATACTAACTTAGTTAAATCAGTTCTACTACTAGCTACATAAAAGATACCTGAAGCTACGTAAATATCTTTTACTAACTTATTTATCTCAGTTATATACCTTACTACTAAAAATAAAATATATCTGTAGCCAATTAAAGTTCTTCTACTAACTTAGCTTTCTTAGTTCTACTACTTGCTACATTAAAATATATCTGCAGCTAAGTAAAAAGCTTCTACTAACTTAGCTATCCTAGTTCTCCTACTTACTATATCAAAAGATATCTGCAGACATGTAAAGTGCTTCTACAAAGTTAGCTAACTCAGTACTAATACGTGCTACATTAAATATACCTGCAGCCACGTAACGTGCTTCTACTAACTTAGTTATCTCAGTTCTAATGCTTGCTACATTAAAAGATATCTGCATTCACGAAAAGTGATTCTACTGACTTAGATAACTCAGTTGTAATACTTGCTACATTAAAATATATCTGCAGCTACATAAAGTGCTTCTACTAACTCATTTAACTCAGTTATACTATTTGCTACAGTAAAAGATATCTGCGACCACGTTAAGGACTTCTACTAACTTAGCTAACTTACTTCTAACACTTGCTACAGTAAAAGATATCTGCAGTCACGTAAAGTGTTTCTACTCAGTTACCTAACTCAGTTCTATTACTTGCTACAGTAAAATATATCTGCGACCACGTTAAGGACTTCTACTAACTTAGCTAACTTAGTTCTAACACTTGCTACAGTAAAAGATATATACAGCCTTGTAAAATGCTTCTAATAAGTCAGTTCACTCAGTTCTACTACTCGCTACATTAAATAATATCTCCAATCACGTAAAGTGCTTCAACTAACTTAGTTAACTCAGTTCTAATATTTGCTTTATTAAAACATATCTGCAGCCACGTAAAGTTCTTCTGTTACTTAGCTATCTCGGTTCTACTTGCTATATTAAAGATATCTGCAACAACGTAAAGAGCTTCTAGTAAGTTAGTTAACTGAGGTCTACTACTTGCTACATTAAAAGATATCCGCAGCAATGTAAAGTGTTTCTACTAAATTAGTTAACTCAGTTCTACTACTTGCTACAGTAAAATATATCTGCAGTCACGTAAAGTGTTTCTACTAACTTAGTTAACTCAGTTCTACAACTTGTTACATTAAAAGATATCCGCACCCCGTTAAGGGCTTCTACTAACTTACCTAACTTAGTTCTAACGCTTGCTACAGTAAAAGATATCTGCAGTCACGTAAAGTGTTTCTACTAAATTAGTTAACTCAGTTCTACCACTTGCTACAGAAAAATATATCTGCTGTCACGTAAAGTGTTTCTACTAAATTAGTTAACTCAGGTCTACCATTTGCTACAGTAAAAGATATCAGCAGCCACGAAAAGTGCTTCTACTAACTTAGCTTACTCAGTTCTACTACTTGCTACATTAAAAGATATCTGCAGACACTAAAAGTTTTTCTACTAACTTAGTTAACTCAGTTCTAATACTTACTACATTAAAGGATATCTGCAGACACGTAAAGTTCTTCTAGTTACTTAGCTAACTCAATTCTACTTCTTGCTATATTGAAGATATCTGCAGCAACGTAAAGAGCTTCTAGTAAGTTAGTTAACTGAGTTCTACTACTTGCTACATTAAAAGATATCCGCAACAATGTGAGGCGTTTCTACTAAATTAGTTACCTCAGTTCTACCACTTGCTACAGTGAAATATATCTGCAGTCACGTAAAGTGATTCTACTAAGCTAGTTTACTCTGTTCTACTACTTGCTAATTTAAATATATCTCCACTCACGTAAAGTGCTTCAACTCAATTAGTTTACTCAGCACTACTACCTACTACATTAAAAGACATCTGTGGAAAAGTAAAGTGCTTCTTCTAAGTTAGTTAACTCCAATATAATTCATGCTACATAACATCGTATATAAGGATATAAGCCTGGCAAATAAAGCGGAGAGAGACTTGCATAGATAGATAGATATAGAGAGAGATAATTGAGTCAGCATTGTACCAGGAGACAAGGTGTGGTTGTATAATACGAGGAAGGCCAAAGGGAAGTCTCCTAAGTTGCCTTCTACATGGGAAGGCCCGTATTACACTGTGGATCTCTCAGACGTGACTTTTCGAATAAAATGTGGTCGGCGAGGTAAGTCAAAGGTGATGCATGCGAACAGGGTTTGGCGTTATCACGGTCCAGGACATTTCAGTTGGGACGAAGTGAACAACAGAACAAATGACGCTGCTGAAGACGTGTCACCTAAAAAAGCCACTGTCGAAGAAGAAACTCTACCCGGTTTTGAGAATGGAAACAATGAAGTCATTAATGAAGCTACTACCAATGATGTGACTGTTACCGATAATAGGACATTTCCTGGTGGAGCAGATGAACCTCACGTAAAACAGAAGCCAACGAGACGGAGACCAGTACGGAAGAAGATACGTCCACAAAAATTAAGAGACTTTGTTGAATTTTAATTTTGTGTTTGTAAATTCTGTACATTTAATTAAGTTATTGTTAATTATCTATTAGTGTAAGGTAAGTGGTTTTTGTTCGGGACGAACAATACTAAGGAAGGGGCAGTGTTACGACAACGGAAGTCACTTGACTCTGGAAGCATTCGCGCTGGAGTTTGTAGAAGGATCATGACTGTTCCTGGCAACTCTAGTCTTTTCTATATTTTAGTATATAAGCCCGGCAAATAAAGCGGAGATATAATTGCAGATAGACAAATATAGAGACAGATAATTGAGTCAAGCGAGCGGTAGTGACCGTAAGTAAAGTGCGCGGATCGTTGTGAATTGTAGCGTTTGTTTAAGTTAAACTTAAACTTTTGAAATTCTGTTTATTGCAAAGTTGTATTGAGAAGGAATAAACTAGCTAGATTTTGATTTAAGAAAGGACTTGTATCGATGAAGTTCCTCGAGAAGAAATTATACCGGAAATTGATAAACGACCAGAGACGTAACAATATTATCTTTACTATATGTAAGTAAAATCATGGACACACCTATTGAAACATTTTTTAATAAAACTTCAAAATACACTATGATACTATTTACGAAAACTTCCTAATTTATAAATAACCATTAATTACACACCACGAATACTAGTTTGTAAAATACCACTATTTCATATATAAAACTATGTAAAATAGTTATTATATGTATGTAAAACCACATATTTAACAAACGTACTGAAACATTTGTGAACAAAACTTTATCATATAGTAATATAAGAAAACTTTAGTTTATAAAATAAACCTTAATGTAATAATACCTGTCGTATATACGTGTTCAAATATGTTATTCAAACATAAGTACTCAAAGTCTCCTTATCTTAGAAACTATACAAAACTAAACTGCCTGTCCCACGTTGTGCTGACCTTCACATACCTAACTGATGGTTGAATAGAAAGTATTTTCTATTTCTAGGTTACATTTTACATTACAGAAAGGTAAATTTTAGACAATTAGTATGTTCTGTGTGTAATTTTTGTGATGTTCAATGTAATAAATCCTGATGGAAATGTTTACACAAACAAAACCTTTGTTCTGTCTTTGATTTAAAATAAACTTATCACCGCTGTTAGATAAACCAAACTGACCATTGTCAATGACCTCAACATAGAATATTTGGAATCCTTCTTTAATATCTAGTAACAATGTTCCGAAACATGCGATAATTAAAACAATAGGCCCGGCATGGCCAGGTGGTTAGGGTACTCGACTCGCAATCTGCGGGTCGCGGGTTCGAATCCCCGTCACACCAAACATGCTCGCCCTTTCAGTCGTGGGGGCGTTATAATATGACGGTCAATCCAACTATTCGTTGGTAAAAGAGTAGCCCAAGAATTGGCGGTCGGTGATGATGACTAGCTGCCTTCCCTCTAGTCTTACACTGCTAAATTAGGGACGGCTAGCGCAGATAGCCCTCGTGTAGCTTTGCGCGAAATTCTAAACAAACAAACAATTAAAACAATAACGAAATCTCACATATTTATGTAGAATTCATCTTTCATTCTGTTCTAAGCCTACTGATACAGTCTGACCATTTGCTGTATGTCATGTAAATACATATATAATGTATTATTACTGACTTTTATTTTAATAAAATTTCCAAGTAAACATTAAATATATTGTAAATACGTAGATAGCGACAATGTGTTATAATTAACTTTATTTTAATTTTTTTCCCGTAAACATTAAATATATTGTAAATACGTAGATAGCGACAGTGTGTTATGATTAAGTTTTATTTTAACAAAAGTTTTCCGTAAATATAATATAATTGTCACACGTTTAAGTAGAACAGAAATTTCACTATATTCTAAGCAGATTGAATTTACTAAGTAACAACAGAAGTATAACAAACATTGTAGCACTAACCTGTATGAAAACTAATTTAATCCATATATATATTTCAGGATATTATGTTGACAGATAAAATTTGTCCAAATTGTAAGACGGACGATATCGATATTTCTTTACTCTCTCAAATGATTACACCTTCAAAATGTTAAGACTATCTATCTCGCTTTGCGTATTATACTGTTACGATAGCGGAATTCACGTGACCCTAGTAACACGTCATTGACTTCTAGAAAT